TAACGATATACAGAATTTTAGAAAAACAATGGAGATTTTTGCAACTACAAAATTAAATTTGTCTTCGTAAAGCAGAAATCTAAGTAATGAATTATTCGTTATTGCTTTAGTAAGTTAAATATGAAATGTTTTTATACATTTACGAACATAGTTCGCAGATATATAAGAGAATAAAAATTAGTTTTAACATCGCGTCATTTAACAAATGTTAACAATTTGACTTAGATTTAAGGAGACATTATCAAGCAAAAGTTGCTGGTTTTGGCAGTTAGTGGATAAAATAGCGCGACATTAAATAGCCTCTTGAAACTATTAATTACTAATATCTCCAGGAATTCTGAAAATGAACGCATGGAAATTCTTATATTTAACTTATGAAAGCATGCTGAACATTTTACTAATTAGACTGTTTTTGTATGGCGGCTGAATAAAAAATTACATGCTATATAAAAATTATATTTTGTATTTGCGAAACAGTTCTAACCCCCCCGTTTGCATAAGATTTTTTATTTTGGTTTGAAAAACTTTTTGATTGGAAGTACTTCTTTAGGATCGATGCTGAAGGGTTAGGCTAATCAACTAAGGGAAAGCAAATGCAGGGCTATTTCTATTTGGAGGGAAGCTGTCGTGGAGGACTTTGTAAGGGAATTTGATAGTATTATGTTACGAATGGGGAAAGCCACGGAAACACCTGTTCCCTAGGTCGAAATTATCAGCATTCAGCGACTCAGCTGCTGCTGAGCCTAACCAATACCAGGAAAAAAAAAATGCTTACAACCACTTTTTTCAAGACCTTCTACAACCATTGATGGACATATGAGAAGGCATACTTTGCTTTTTCTCAAAAAATGGGGAAAACATTTTTAAAAATCATTATGTTTATCAAAACATATATAATTTACATAATCATTAGAATGTTATAAAGATAACTACAAAATGTTAAGAGGGCCCACCAGCGGCCGAGCAATAAATTTGCTAAACACTGGTAGTTCGGTCCGAGATTCAAATCCCGGCGAACGGGTTGGCTGCATAAGCTTTTTCACGATTTACCCCATGTGTAACGTGTATGCGAGCCAGTTTTCTCTAGAAAGTACTCCACAAAGGCATCCCTTTCCTTATGCAGATAACCTTCAACTGTTTTCGTATTCAAACAAACCAAATAAAAATTAAATAATGATACAAATGCATAAACTTACAAAAATAACTAGAACACTTCAACCCATCAAATTTAAAGACACAAGGGAAAGCACAGCGTGGAGTTTTAGGCAAATTAAGTTATATTGGATCATTCTGTAAGTACCAGTCAAAGTGATATAAGATAAATAACAGCTTTATTTATCTGAAGCAGCGCTGAAAGTTTGATTATTTTTGTTTAGTTTGTCAAAATTTTGAAATGGACAGTAAGCGTGTGCAAACTACGACTGAAGCCAGAAAAATATTTATCCGGTTACATAATTAGAATAAATCACTGAAAGAAGTTGGTGAAATAGTGAATAGGAGTCCACACAGAATACGAACTGTGTGATAAAAATTTCAGATCATCTGTAGTGTGGTAAATGTACCAAGAAGTGGCCGTTCAAAAACGTTGACTAGTAGAGAAAAGGGTGCCAATATTTTTAAAATGAATCCAAAAATTTCTTCAAATGCTACCTCAACAACGCAACAAAGTATTCATCCAAAACTATCCCCAGATGTTTCGTCTGGCTGGTTACAAATCTAGAGTAGCCAATATAAAACCATACGCCAGCAAAACTAATCGAAAGGAAAGGTTTTCCAAGGGACCATTTGAATAAATGTCATGCACTTTGGTCGAAAGTATTGTTTTCCGATTAAAGTAAATTCTCAGTAATTCGTTGCATTGGAAGAAATTTAGTTAGGAGACAAGAGAAAACTGAACTGCTTAAGTAGCAGTAAAACACTGGCGCAAAAGGTGTCCATAGTATGAACTGCATGTCGGGTGCTGTGTCTGCAGTCTTGAATTCATTGATAGCACCATAGACCAGCATGTCTATTTGGTTATCCTAAAACGTAATTTTCAACAAAATGCCCCTAAGCTTAATTTATGCAACAATTACTTCCAATAAGACACTGATCCCAAACTTACGGCACATATTGCCCGTCTGTGGTCTATGTTGATTTCCCGTTCCATCACACGCCGCGCAAACTCAATCATTCAGCTCCATCACTTGATTTAAATCCCAACGAACATTTATGTAAACAACTTGACAACAACATAGCGACACGCGATATACTGAATGCAGATAGTTTTTCTAAAAAGTGTTTTTTTAGAAGAATGGGATAAGCTTCTTTTGAAACAACGAAACAATGGGTGAATTTCATGCCAAATAGTCTTAAGGCTGTTATCAAAAATAAGAGATTCGTCACAAAGTATTGACTATATTCTAATATTTTCATCATTGTGTTTTCACTTTTATTTTTCCTTTTGATAGGTGGAAATTTTCTGTAAATTTATTAATTTAAGATTTTTGCAGTTCTTTTCTAAAGCTTATATATATATTATTATATAATATAAAATGTATATAGTTTAGATTCTAAAGATTATATAAATAATATATGTTTTAATAAAAATAAGGATTTAAAAATTTTTTTGACCATTTTTTTGAGAAAATGCAAAGTTTACTTTCACTTATACCCATCGTCTATCTTGGCTCACTAGCGACCGATTGGTAAAGACGCTGAACACTGGTAGTTCGAACCGACGCTCGAATACATCGAACGGGCTGGATGTATTGGCGCTTTTTTGATTTACCCCATGTGTCACGTGTATACGAGCCAATTTCCTTTAAAAGGTTCTCCACGAAGGCATCCATCTTTTTAGGCATATAGCCCTCGAGTGTTTTGTCGTAATCAAATAAACTAAACCAACTTTCTCTTTTGCGTGAAACAGAGCTGCTGGCGCAATTCCCCCCCCCCAGAGTCTGCGGCTACAATTGCGAAACAGATCGCTGAACGCAACTTGATTTTTTTATTATTGTTTTAAATTTGTTGAAATTAGTTGTGTATTTAATCACACCTCTTCTAAATATAACAATAAATGTATTTCGTATCCATGTTGGGTACCTAAATGACAGCAATAAGAGAACGTTCTCAAGAAAGGAGCTTCCGTGTAGTATTAAAATTCTGTATTTGCAACGTAGTGTTTGAACGTTTCTTTAATAATACTTCAAGTTTATCACAGCTGAATATATCAATTATGGCAGAGATAAATACCGACCTGATAAATCATAAAATATGAATATCGACCTGAGCTGTGCTTTGAGTTCTGATACAGTACATGCAATGGTATCGATATCGCCTAAACTGCATTTTCACAACAGTCAATCGTTATCGAAAACTATTACATTTTCTAAAAATGAAGCAAACAAAAATCAGTTAATTTCAATATTTCTAATTAAAAATGTTCCAAAAAATATCATGGTAATTGCAAAGTTACGCATATTTTAGCTTGTCAAAATTTTAGTGCATAGAAATATGTTGAATTGATCATGCAATCGAAATTTTTAAAATCTGTTATAATCTTGATATTATGCTCTTTTTTTCCCAACTTCATGGAATTAATATTTCATTAATTTATTAGTTAACAGTAACATATCACCTGAAACGAATGCTGCAATTGGGGTTCTGCATGAATTCATAGCTGAAAATTTTTAGCAATGAGTATCCATTTGAACTTCCCTTTCACAAGAAACGAAATGAAACCTTTAAAGTAATTCTTGACAGGAGGCGAGAAAAGGATTATTTTATTCCAATGTTAAGCGGAAAAACAAGAAGTTAGACTCAAAAAGTAAAGCCAAGTTTCGTAAACTGATGTTCTCAATTTGATTTATAACTAAGGCACTGTAACACTCATTTCCTAAGCCTCAAGAGCTTGGAGAAATTCCTTAAGAGAGAAAAACAAACTGTAAATTTCTTAGAAAAGTTCAAAGGAGATTTCTTCTTCGTATTATTGAGGGTTACAGGATTGTTAGCTATGATGCAACATGCCTCATTTCGGTCTGATATAACAGATCTTGATTTAATATATCTTGATTGATTTGCTGATTTAAAAATCTTAAATTATCTTGATATTAGAGGTAGACTTCCAAATAATAGCTCTTGCGATGTCTCGAATGGCATGCCTTTTATCTCAAATTTGCCTCACTCTCTACAGGAAAACCTGTAACAGCTGTTACGTATAATAATGATGTTTTTAAAAAATATAGAATTATTTGTTTCACTGATGGTTGTAAGTTGAATGGAAAGGTTGGTCTTGCTTTGTTATCTATGAAGGTGGCAAAGAGATTGTAGTTGTTCAACATAGAATACCAAATGAATGTTTTGTTTACCATGTAGTGACATTAGGAGTTTTTCGGGGGCCGGAGAGATGAAAAATTAGCAATCGCCTTCGCCGGGAATTGCACCACGGACCTCTGGAAAACCGGCCCAGCGTGCAGAACCACTACACTACGAAGGCACGCTAGGAAAGTGGGGAAAAATACCTTATAACCAGACCGAATATCTAAACTTAAATCTTGCAGTTAAACCGATACAAAACTCTTGCCATAAGAATAAGACGTTTAAGAAATTTATTTGCACATATTCACTTTCTTCTATATGGAATAATATCAACAGAAAAACTGGTGGTGGAAATTCGCACCATATTATGTGCATTTGAACGAATTGCAAACGTTCATTTTACTTACGTTCGAGGTCACAATGGTATTCTCGATAATGAAATGTCTGACCAATTGGCTAAGCAAGTTACTTACCATGATATTGATTTAATGATCTCTGTACCCAAGTCTTATATGAAGCATGTAACTTGGGATAAAACTGTGTTTGACGTGAATGCTGAATACTTTGCTTCATCGAAGGTCCAGTGGACAAAGAGGTTTTTCCCATCGTTTTTTTAACATTTTAAGTGTAATCATATTCAGCCTCGAATTAACTCAGATTTTATTAGTCATGGGAATTTTAGAAATTACTTATTTCGTTTTCAGGTCATATGCGAGTGTCAGAACTACTTATAAGGGGAGTTTAAAGCGCCTTTCTATTTTCTGGTCTCATGTTTTCTCTGAATTTGTCAGGAGATCTGAAGATTTGGCTGTCTGACGCAACTTTATTGTTGTTCAAACTTTTAGTAATATTATTTTTTATGTTATTTCATTATTATCTTTTATGTATCATTGTATTATTATTGCAATTTATTCGTGTATTATTACGTTATGTATTAATGTACTGTATTATTGTTGTATAATATCTCCTTTGTATCAGTATTATTTTAGTTTTTATTATTTATAGTAATTTTAGTATTCTTATTATAGTAGCATTTGTATTATTATATACAGAGGGTGTTTACACATTTTTGTAACGATTTTGATTTTCTTCATGAATTTAAATATCAATTTTAAAATATAAACGTGACTGACATCAAATCGGAATAAGGTTGAATTATCGTCTTCAGCATTAAAAATATTCTTTTCTTTAAAATATCGCTGAAAAATAAACAATGGATCAAAGGCTATATGGATCGCTGTCCGAAGAGAAATACTCTTATTCAATTACTAAGAAAAGACGTGAAAAGCATGGCTTTAATATTTCTAAACTAATAAGTCATATAATTAATATGAAAGGAAAGAAACATCAGATTTTACATCTGACTGGCAAAAAGGAAAAAAATACACTCCAATAAAGTAAAAATACATATCCAATAAAGGTACGTACAGCTGTTATTAAAGCTAAAGTCGCATCTCATGTTTTAAAGGAAAATCCAGCCCCCCCCCGAAAAAAGGATATTGCAAAATTTTTAAATATCTCTGTAGAAACTGTGATAAAAATTATAAAATCTGATTTAAAACTAATCCAAAAAAGTTAAGTTCATCGCCTAACGCCGAAATATGTTTCTAAGTGTAAGGCTATGTGTAGATTGCTGTATGAAAACTATTTGGCCGGTGAAATATAGAAATATATAGTTACAGTTGATGAGGCTTGGATGCACTTATCTGATTGCAATAGAAAAAGATCGATTTACTTCTGAGAAAAAGACTTAATACGTTGGTTCAGAGAAAACAAGGAAAGTTTTTCTGAAGGTTTTATGGTTATTACTAGATTCTCTTATAATGGAAACCTTAAAATAAGGAAAGTAGAAAAAAATGTCAAAATTAATTCGGATTATTATCAGAAATATGTTTCAAAATCTACTTTTAAAGAAGAAAGTTCCTCACTTTATCCAAACAATCTTCACTGTGTTAAGTTCCATCAGGATAAGGCTCCAAAGCCATACCTCTAAATCTACTGCACTATTTTTTGAAAAATGAGAAATGAAACCGAAATTGAAGCTATTCCCTTTAAATGCATCCCATACAAGTCCCTTGATGTGTCTCCTATGGATTACTGTGCATTTGGACTTTTAAAACAAGCTCTTTATAAGCGGCATCCCAAAACATTGGATGGACTCCGGAAGATTGTGAAGGAGGAGTGGAATAAAATCAACCTTGATGTTTTAAGAAAAGGACTTTTAACTTGGAAATCAAGATGTAATATGATAGTTCAACAAAAGGACTATCAGACAGAACATACTAGAAAATAAAATTCTAAGGTTTATATATATATATATATATATATATATAAATCTTTGCAAAATCGTTACAAAAATGTGTGAACACCCTCTGCATTTTCCTTATTGTCTCCAGGTCTAGACATTAAGTATAATTGTTGTATTATACCTTTGTATTATTGAGTAGTATATAGAAGGTTATGGTTTATTTTGGAATTATTAGAAAATAAACAAACTATTAATGCAGGCATCTATTGCCATTAGTTAGTTGACCTAAAATGGACTTTTGAAAATGAACTGTATTTTTCAGCATACCTTGTATATTTCGTAACAGCAAGGTAATGAATGCTAAGTCGTATACTTCGACTGTGAATCGACAAAAACGTTATAATGCGAAATCCTTACTTATCTGCCTAAAAGTCCAAGTATTGCCCCATCCATTTATTACTATTCGAATTCCTGCTGTATTTTCTCATTAGTAGTAACTTCTATAGTAAGCAGAAGGTCTTTCATAGCAAGATTTTAAAAAAATTTCTATCGCACGTCAAATAATTTAAAGACTCGCAGAACTAATCAAAATTTTTGAAAACGTTATACTTTAACAGGAATCAGAGCAACTTCAGCATTAAGATTTATTAAAAGAACGCTGGAAAGGTATGGTTGTAAAAATGAGTGATAATAAAATCTCTGATGATAAGGTTATTGAATGTATGAGAATGAACACTCCGTTTTTTTTTCTTTCATACATTAAAATTTCATTTCTCGATGATTTGAAGTTAGGAAAACCACATTTCTTAATATTATTTTCTTTTTACTTTGCAAATTCAATTTATGTTTACTATTATCATTTTCTTATTTTTTGGCAAGGGAAGGGGGCTATGAAATACGACCAATAGATGACCTGATGTCAATTCTCTGATTAATGGTTTAAAACTTGATAATAGCTTTTGCCTCATATCAGTTTCAAAACGCTGTTTTTGTCTTAAATGAAAATAATATAATGGTGTAATTCATTTTTAAGTAGTAGGAATACTTAGCCTTCAGAAGTATAGATGAAACTACTGTAAGACTGATAAAGCGGAAATCTGAAAGGCCACAAAATTCAGTTAAGTATTTGGATGATTGCCATTGCTTTCGCAAAAATCAAATTAATTGACAAAAGAAATTATTAAAGAAAGAAATAACGCAGAAAGGTCGTCAATACCAATTCATCATCTGCATAGTCGCTAATATTTTTGCAAAAATCAGATTAATAGAAAAAAGGAATTATTAGCACAATATGTATACAAACCTCTATTTATGCTAGATGAAAGAACCAATTTGCATACATCGTTTTTTTAAAAATTTAATTGATAATCTCAGCCTTTAAAGAATCGAACTAAGAGCCTAAGGTTACAAAAATTGATCCAACAGGAATTTGTTACATTTACAATTTTTTAATAATATTTAACTAATTTGTATTAAAAATTGGTTTCATTTATTTTTTAAATGTAAAGATGGAATAAATTTCAAAACGTAAAGAGAATTATTTTTAATTTAGCAATTTTTTTTGTATTAGAATTTTAGAAAATATGTCTATAGTCACTGCTAACTGTTAAACTAATACAATCTTTCAGCGTATTAATAGCATAATTTAACAATTCAGTAACCTTTTTATATTCAGTTATTACTATATTATCTTCAAAATTTTAATGTTTGATTACACGTTTTATTTATAAATGTTAAATTCGAGTATTCCAATTCATGAAATCTATTCTTCCTCCAATAAAAGTGAATATGTATAATTTGAAAGCAAAGCATCGTCAGTAATTGGTTTTATCTAATCTTTAAATTCCTTTGGAACCACTAAGGTCTTGTAATCGATAGAGTCATCTTGAATGCCAAAGTGCTGATTCAAACGAGGTTAAATATTGTACTTTCAGATAAAGGAAGTACAACTGGAACATTTTCCACGTTATTGACCAACTCCTGAATAATGATTTGCTCAAATGTATTGTTATTGTAAAGATGAAAAATTAATGGTATTTAAATTGTTGCTGATTTTAAATCTGAGTATGATTAAAGCTTAAGTTTCGCTCAACTAAATTCGGTGACACTAAAACTCCGAGGATAATCTTCTTTCAATACAAAATTTTATGTTTAATTTAACAAAATATTTATTAAACTAAAAGAAATAGTCGAGAGAAAAAGAAAAGAAGCAAAGAAAATTTTAATGATTATGCGTAATTACCCAAACATTTCCTATTAAAATTTGAAGATAATGAAAATAATAACTAACTTGAGATTATTTAAGAGTTTCTAAAAATAGTCATGGAAATTTTGACGCCAAACATCGAGACATTAGATAAACTCTTTCAATTTGACTAAAATTTCTTGTCTAACTTACATTTCTCAAGGGACTTACTGTCTACCAAATGTCTAAGGTGAACATTAATATCGCATAAATATAAAATTCCCCTATAACTTTTTTTTTCTGCTGTTCATAAATCTTTATAGTGAAGCTTAAAATTAGCGAAAGCTATTCCGCCCCGTACTTGCGAAGTTCAGATTAAGTTATAAGATCGCAATCAACTTTAATAGATACAAACATCAGCTCCAACTCGTTCTCCTCCGTCTAACCATTAACATGTAAATTAATCACTCACCAACTCTCATGATTAGCTGTTAGCAATACACGGATTCACTGGGTATTGAATCCTTGGATCAAAACAGCTTCAACATTGCTAATCCAAGCCCTCTAATTGCTGGGTACATTTATGATCAAACATTATCCGTTTTGCATTCTGGTGAAGATCTGCATAAAACTTTAGAGGGCAAAACCGTGTAACATAAAAACAACTGATTAATTAAATGAACCTAACAAAGCCAGATCGGGTAAATTCTCCTCACGAGTTGGAAAAAGACTACTAATAAAAATATTGTTGTTGGTGTTGATAAAGACTAATTTAAGATATCAGGGTGAGATCTTGAAACGAAACTAATATATTGATGTAAGAAAGGTTGTTTAAAGGTTTATAGAAAGAGAGGATATTTTTTTTATCAAATTTCTAATATTATAGAGTAGAGATTCACAAAGAGGTAAGGTTAGAGGTTTCACTTTATTGAATTTCTAAAGTATGTGTAAATAATTTACAGAATAAATCTTCTTTTGCAATGAAGATTCAAGTTTGATTTATACAGTTCCCCTACATCTGAAAATAGTTGAGCTTGAAAAAAATTAAACTCTCGAGAGGTTGCTCGAGTCTTGGTGGCGTTTTTTCCCCGGCTACAGTAGTGAACGTTCCTTTCAGGAAGCTCGCAGAGCGTGCAAGAGACCGTACGCGATTTCTTGCCCATCTCGCCATTCCTCCCTGAAAAAGGATTTGAACTCCTGGGTAGATGGCTCGAGTCCGGCAGCAGATTTTCAGCTACCATTAATCTCGTTTCTCGTAAGAGGAAAATGTCCATTTTTTCTTTCCCTCTCCTGCACAGTTGGGCTGTCCTCTGGAATTTTTGTTCCAGATTTCCTCGCGTTTCAGAAAATGCCCTTCTGGCCTGTCACTGGT